CGCGGCCATTTTTCCGCCCCTGACGCGTGGTCCGCGGCCATTTTTCCGCCCCTGACGCGTGGTCCGCGGCCATTTTCCGTCCTTGAGACGTGGTCGTAGGGAGGGGGACTCTCCCTCCAAGCAATAGCCACCTCCCAGTCCTCCACGCCAGAACGGATTAACGGTAATTACATTAAACTTATGGGGAAATTTGTTTCAGGTTGCAACCAATTCGGGATGCGACCAGTGTCACAGAACGAATTAAGTTCGTAACCCAAGGTACCACTGTATACAGGTGGATCCTGGGGAAAATGTAGAAGCCAGAAGGGAGGATTTGTAGTAGTGATTGGAAGTTTTCAGTATCCTTTATCTTTGACAGTAATTATGAGCAAAAGAAGCAAATGTGTGGTTTGGTTAATTTGTATCAGACAACTAGATGGCAAATTGTTTAGTTTTTAAGAGCAAAGTAGAATGCTCTTACACGTTCGAGCATTAGAAGGATTATTTGCCTTTGTTTTGTAATGTGTGAGCCAGGCTTTCTGCATAGATATAAGCAAATATATAAACTCTTGCCTTTTTAGAGCCTGCATCAACCAGCACCTGATGAACAATAAGGACTGCTTCTTCTGCAAAGCCACCATCACAGGAGTGGATGATTACATTAAACCAGCCACCTCCTAGTGCCTGGACCCTGCAGGGCAGGGACCGCATGCCTGGGCAGCTTCTCCCCACAGTGGACTCTCCCCCCTCCAAGAGCATCTCGTCAAAAGCGGCTGTTCTTCAGCACAGCTGAGATCAGTTTTATGACACCTCTTGTAGGCCACACACTTCTGTATGCATCACCTAGGCCAAATTGTATTCAATCCTACTGAATTTAGGTACACTTCCTGTTGCTGTCATTGACTCCGAATCAACAGGAATTGGGCTTTTCCTATGGGTAATGTGCATGGGGGCTTAACATGGTCAGGTTCTCTACCTCAGCCTGAATCTATAGCTCCTATTCTGCATCTACCCTAGGAAGCATGTCTTGTACTGTAGCTGGGACACATCCTCTTTGATGTGCTCTCCATGGTAGAGTAAAAATGGATTCTCTGCAGCCAGCATCTCTCCTGTGAGTCCAGTTACTCACTAGCCAAGTGTGTTCTGGCTGCTGCTACAGCAGCAGCACTTTGGTGTTTGACAGTGCATGTGTAGCTAGAGTTGATTCAAATATTTGTGTGGGCATACCCTGCAGACAACCATTCACCTGTAGCACCTGATGCGATCGTTCTGGAGATTGTCAAGCAATACTCTCCTGTGCAGTCAAAGGCGGTACATGTGAGTGAAGGATTGTGGTACCTGTCTGCCTAAAAATTTGAATCTGCTCTTTGTGAGTCTGGCCCCTTTCCTTTGAAGGCAAGGACACCTATGAAACACAGGCACTAGGTCAGGCTTCTGGTGTGGGGAGCTTAGTGATACAACAGAGGAATAAGTGCAGAAATGCAGCCTAGACCACAAGGAGGAGTTTGATCAAACGTTTCCATGGGAAAGACCAGATTCAGTAGGACCAATATTTGGTCCATGTATTTATATAAGTGGTTGGGAGAAGTGTTCACTAGGTTGATACTGTAGGTTCCAGCAGGGGTGAACCTGATTGCACTGCTATCTTCCACCAGCAGGAAGTGCCTGTGGCACCCACCCTACACTGTGTGACCAGGTTGCCTGTACAATCCAGGAGCAGACAAGGATTTTTTAAAAATTTACTGTGTGTGACTTGTATCCAGAAATGTTGGGGAGAGTAGCAAGCATTGTGCTTGAAACAAGGAATTTAATTTAAGTGCATATATGGTTGTCTCTCTTCCCCTTCCCCTTCCAAACTGGAAGGGGATATTACTTCCATAAAATGAAATATTAAATTATTATTCCTTAAAGCTGCGAGATGCATATTCTTCTCTACATTTCTAAAGCATTCTTCCTGATGTAGGTTGTAAGTAGCAAAAGTTGGAAAGGGCTGGCACAGTAGTTACAGGGGTACTTCCAAGGAAGACAGGCATTAGAAAAAGTTGCTTTTAAGGACTATTGCTCTCATCTTTAGCTTCTGAAGAGTAGACAACACATGACATACCAGGCATCCGTTGTTAATAACAATAATAATTTCATTTGTTTTCATTACAATATAATTTCATTCATCTTCATTAGAGAACCATGTCCAAAGTTCTGAATAATAGTTGACAGTAATTCACCATAGGGAAGGAAGCAATGCAGTTTTATAAGGCAACTAAGTTCCATAGAAGAGTACTGCATTTTGTTTGCCTCTGTGCTTCATAAACAACAAATATCACCCTATCGTATTAGTATATAACATGCTGTTCATTCACCTTCCCAGGACTACTGGATGCTTTCATCTTCAAACAGGTGAGCTGCTACACTATCCCAGATGTTGAAGCAAAGATGGGTTGCCCCTCTTCAGAACAGGGTACCGGACTCTGCTGTAGAACAATGGCGGATCTGGCCCAGGTAGCCTATCCTACCTCACTCATTCCTAATTCTGAATGCTGCAACCATATTCTTGTCCACTCCTAGGACCCCATGTAAATGTTAAGAAGTCAGCAGCAAGGGTAAAAAGAAAATAGTAGCATTTGGAAGAAGAAAGTTGAACTCAGTAGAGAGTCCCTTGCCACCAAGGCACAGAGTGGGGTTGTTCCCAGCAAAATGTTCTGCCAGCTAGTCCAGTGCTCAGTCCAAGCTTACTACATGATGATGCGTGGCTCTGGGACTGATTCAGCAATGGATTTGTGAGGCAGCACATTGGCCCCATTGAGGTAGAGTTCATCGTTCACAATGACATCCTCCCCCAACACAGTTACATTCTCCATCCGCACCTGAGGAAAAAATGGTGTGCAATTACACAGCTGAGCTTAGGAAAATATATTTTAAAACAGACTCAGGCTAAAGGAGCTACTTGCTTATACAAGTCATGTGGCTACTCAGGAATTAGTTCTTAACAGTAACTACTCTTAGCACCCGGGCTGCTATGGAAAGCAAAGTCAGAATGCCCTGGGTGATAACCCAGGCTTAGTCCTACAAAGTTATCATCTATACAAGACTCTCAGGTGCCACTCAAGCCATGCCATACCTGCAGTTGGGGTGGAGAAGGAGTGCATAAAGCATTGCAGAGACTTAATGTGCTCATTTTGACCCTTATTTAAAGAACAAAAACCACTATCCAATGTTTTGCTCTTGAATTTCTGCACTTTAGAGGCCACATGGGCAAAAAGTAGATGAACGACCTAGTGGAGAACTATAGTTCTAAAGGAGGAAAAACCTAACAGCATAATTCTGTCCTTTTCAGTGTGTGCATATAAAGGGCAATCCAAGTTATTTTCTAAGTAGTACAGGCAGAGCCCTTTGTTTTTAAGACAATTAGAGCTCACTCACCCATTGACCCACAGAGGAGCTCCACCCAACAATACAGGACTCGAGCCAAGAGTGGGAACGGATGCGTGACCCCTTTAGAACAGTGCAGCGCTTGATCCGAACACCATCCTCTACCACAACTCCTGCCCCAATAGTGACATTGGGACCAATACTGCAGTTTGATCCAATCTTGGCACTTGGGTCCTGAAATGAAAGAAGAGCTAACGTGAAAGATAGCCTTATGATCTTGCCCCAGCAGTTTCCAGTTTCCCAGGTGGACAAATAATGTTCGTCCCTCTTCTACTCCCAGATCAGAACTAGGTACTTGGTAACATTTGCATATGCTGTTGGCCTGCCTAAGAAAATACTGCCAGCTCAGACTGATCCCTGTGGAAATCTGAGATTGGATCAGATTGATCCCTGCTGTTCCTTATTTTCCCTACTCACAGAAAATGAATTTTTAAAATGAGATTACCACTAGTACATTTCCCATATAGCCCGATCCAGAATGTAACCGCTCAGGCTGCTTCAGCCGCAAATGTTGTAGATACAGGCACATGCCAGTCAGGAAATCTTTCGGCTGCCCAATATCCATCCAGAACCCTGCAGTGATAGAAGGTGCATGAATCAGGTACCAATAATCTGTAATAGAGCTTTCATTGGGATCACAGGTACAAGGGGCTCTTCATCTGGAAGCAGACCAGCATTAATGCTTCTGGGCTGGCAGACTTGTGGAAAATAGGGAAAAAACTCTCTGTATTTCCTTGCTTTAAAATAACAGTGGGCAATCTTAGCAGAGAGCCAGTTTGGTGTAGTAGTTAAGGCATCAGGCTGGAAACCAGGAGACTGAGTTCTAGTCCTGCCTTAGGCACAAAGCCAGCTGGGTGACTTTGGGCCACTTTCTCTCAGCCCTAGGAAGCAGTCAAAGGCAAAGCACTTCTGAAATCTTGCCAGGAAAACTACAGGGACTTGTCCAGGCAGTCGACAGGAGTCAACAATGAGTCAACACCCCCCCAATCTTTTAGCAGTGAAGAGCTGACCTAAAAAATTTTTGGCTGGCTGAGGGCCAAAAGTGGGTGTAGCTGCATCATACAAAAGGACAAGACTGTATGTGGTTCTAGGGCTGCAGATTGCCCATCCTGTTCTAAAACAAGCATCATGTGAATTTACTTTCCAAATCTTTAAACTTATGTTCCACCTTAATAGTGCCTGGGGGCAGATACTTTGGGGATAAAGTCATGTTAGCCTAAGTAAATGCAGATTTTTTCTACAAGAAAGAGCCAGATAAGCTTGACATTTTAAATATTGAGATTATGGCAAACAAAATCTTACATTTCCCAATAACATTAATGATGAGCCAACAAATAATATATTGGAATTTTGGGGAGTTGACTAGTCATGCTGAAAGGTAGGAACACAAAACATGGAATGTTAAGCTTTTTAAAATATTGTTTCAGAAGGCAAAGATGTGTAATCAATTTGTAACAGTGCTGGAATTTGATTTTATTTGCTATCCAAATCACATCCTAACCTTGTTTCATTTCTTAATTGAACCTCCACCTTCCAGAAGCTATTACCAAACTTCTGCATTTTTTACCTCTTCTACATCACTACCTTTAGTTTTGAGAACACATAATTACTGTATAACTTTGAAATCTAATCCAAAAGTATCAAAGCCTTTTCCTTACCATGTAGTTCCATGGCATAGAGTTGTCCTTCCTCTGCCATTACAGGAAATATTTCTTTCTCAATTGAGGTAGGCCGCAACTAAGAAAAAGGTAAAGGGACTCAGTTGGCCATTCCAATAGGAGCTATACAATCCTCATGTGTCATGGATATTAAGCACAACATTCTTTAGATTCATTGTTTAGATCATTCCAATTCAAATCATTCCCACCAGAAGCAATGGCTAGTTGAACCAAGATGTCCTCACTGGTCTATTAGGAGTAAACCCATTTCTGAATTTGCACATAATGATAACCAAACATAGACACAGTAATCTCTATCTAACCACTCAGAGTCAAATGAGTCTAAGCACGATGGAAGAATCTTCTGGTGTCCCATGACATCTAAACATGGCTTTAATTCCACCACATCAGATGTCCAGGGAAAATCAGCTTGTTGAAACCTCCATTGTCCCCTTACTGGTTCATACCTGAATGCGCTTTAATACACTTGGATTTAAGATGTACATGCCAGCATTGATTTTATTGGAAACAAAAACCTGGGGTTTCTCCACAAAGCGATGTATGAGCCCAGTATCTGCCTCACACACAACTACACCATATTTGGAGGGTTCTTCCACTTTTGTCACCTGTGAGGCAAAGTCCACATTAGATGCAGTCATGGCAGTAAAGACATAAATCAGAAAAAAGCACCCCTCACATCTTAGTATGAAATGCTATGCCTATTTTAGTATTTTTATTCTGACCCCACTTCGAAGTCTTAAAAAAGGACATTTAATTGCTTGCTGCCTTCACACAACATGCTAATATAATGGCTTGCTTAACCAAGATTTACTGAATAAGCAGTGTGTCACTGGGTTCACATGACCAGCTAATCCATAAACCATATATTGCCAACCAGAATGGATGGATTCACGCAACACACTAAGCCAAAGATAAGCAATAGTAATTATTTAGTTTTCCATCCCACCTATCATTCAGCTTGTGCTGTGTGATGTCAGGCTTAGCATTTTTTTAATAAATACCCTACCACATATGTTAACATAGAAAGGGCTGTATAGCATTAGGTTTTTATTTATATTTTCTTTTGTTTTTGATAAGTAGTGAGACTTACCAGATACAGCCATCACAAGGTGTTTGATTTCTGTGTTCCCAGCTAACCTGCTCGCTCTATTTCTGGGAGCTTAATATGCAGTAGGGATTAGAAAATACCCTCATAAAGCATAAAAAAGTAAGTCACAATCCCCAGGTACTTACCACAATAGTGCCTTCTTTTCCATGATGCCTGTGAAAGTGCACCATGTCTGTGAAGGGAAAATCACAGATCACATCGCTATTGAGTACAAAAAAAGGCTCTGAATTTTCAGCCAAAAGCTCCTGTGCTAGTGCCAGTGGGCCAGCTGTGGAGGAAACAGGAGTTATCAGTGTCCATCTGATCACAAGCCCTCTAGTAACCATACCCAACAAACACTGCTAAACTCACATAGTTACCTGTGCCCAGTGGTTCCTTCTCATGCGACAGAGAAATCTGAATGCCCAACTGAGAAACAAGAGTTTGGAAATGCAGTTAGAAGAAAAGTAGACAGTGACCCTATCCACAACGGCATTTAGAAAATCTCTCAAATAGGACAAATTCATCATATCACCATTGCTCAGCTGCTAGTTTATCGCAAGCTGCAGATCGACTCATTGCTCTTTATTTAAATGTGTCAATACTCCAAATAAAGCTGCTAATAGCATAATTTAGATGAGAGAACTGAATTCTACCTAGCCTCCTTAGAAAGTCCTTGTGTTAGGTTATCCACTTCTTAAACCATATTCAAACACCTAATGCTAAGCTCTTCTACTTGGAAGCAAGTCTATTGAGTGTAATGGAGTCTATTTAAAATTAGGTACATATAGCACTTCTGCAGGCATTGTATTCCATAACCATCAAGAGGTTGTAGTATGGGGGTCAGAGGACTCCTTGGGGAAAAGAGAAAAGGAAACTTTTCTTTCAGGAACTTTTGTAAGTTAACTTATCTTGGGATTCAGGCCGAAAGGTGCAAGGCAAACTAAGGAGCCAAAGGGAAAAAATTGTGCAGTCAGTGTTACAGTGGAGAAAGTACTTCCACTATAAGCATTTTATGTGTGATTTTGTGAAATGACAAAGATACACACAACAACTACTTCAAAAACATTAGTCACAAACCACAAGTACTGCAAAAAATAATGAGCAGATTTGGGCTCAAAGTAATTTGCTTACAATCTGTACATTTTACATGAAAGGAATGAGATAAAAGAGCTTATTAATATCAAATTCTTTTCACCAGAGGTAGCAGTAATTCTGACCTTTTTTTAGATGTTGAACCCATCAACCTAAATGAATATGACTAATGGTAAACAAACATGGGAGTTAACAGCAATCCAGGATCTTCAACAGTCACACCTGCTTTTGCATTACTGTATCTGTGAGAATTATCCTATACTTTATTAACACTTTTAGCAGCTATATCAAGTAATTAAGCTGAATATACAAAACAATTACAGAAAGCTATAGAAAAGCAGTATCACATGATGCCCAGAGATGCATACCCTATTTTAACACCGTAGAACAGGGATCTTATATAAGGAACTATAAAAAGGGGGTTGTACTTATTTCAACATGTTGTTCTGTATGCTAGTTAAATCTCATATATTGCATCATTCTTATTTTAAGAAGATTCTAGCACAGAGAGATTAAGTATTCAGCCAAGCTCAATACCAGCCATTTTCCTTGCAGAAGCCAAGACGAAATATTAAAGTTGAAAGATTAGATCCCTAATTCAGGAGCATTAAAATGATTAACCACCCATTCAATTCTACTGACTGCCCTGTGGAAACAGTATGCTACTGAGTACAGAACAACTGGCATCAACAGATCACTCCACTGCAAAAAAAAAAAAAACACCCAGCAAATGCAAATAAGTCAGAGCTTATTTACTCCACCAATAAATCCATGTCAACAAATAAAAAAGCTCACCTCAGGACACTTACCCTTTGCTCTTGTTCTTTCATCTCCTTCTCCAGTAGTTCTGACATATAGCTTACAGCAAGGATCACATGATTTACACCTGCCTATTAGGAGAAGATTAGCATTCAGCATGACTTGACAGCATGGAGCCTATTCACAGGTTTAAGATTAGGTGCCAGAATTATACCTCAAAGTAATTATTCCTGATTAATGTTTAAATATGCCAAACCTCAGTTTATGATAACAGAAATCAGAAACTGCTGAGCCCTCATTAAAAGAGTAATTCAAATGTCCTGGAAGTGATTTAAATCTGAGGCAAGAGAGTTACCTGTCCTGAGAAAACTGACTTAAGTACAATGCCACATGTTTAGACAATACCTGACAAGTTAGATTATTGTAACATGCTGTGTGTACAGATGCCCTTGATTTGGAAAGTAAACAGTACAGAAAATAGCAGCTAAAATTCTTGTGGGAGTTAGATGCTTTGGACATATGTTTATTCTGCATCAATTACATTAGCTACAATGTAATTGGTCCCAATATAAACAATGCTTCTGCAGTCAAATCAAAGTGCTGGTTTAGCTTCTAAAACCCTAAATGATTTAGGACCATGTTATGTGCCTATATCCATATGATTCTACTGCATCATTACAATCAACACCAGGTGGTTTTATTCTCTGGTCTTACAATAACAGGGATTAGGCTGGTATGAATTAAGAGACAGCTTTTTACATACTGGTACTATATTTCAAAAATATATTTTCCAGGAAGTATAATTTGGCCATATCTGTGTTTAACTAAGAAAAAAAACCCCAAAATTTCCAAAAGCACATTTATTCCAGTCAGCATTTAATAAATATATATACTGTGAGATGTGAGACAGAATTTAAAATTATGAACAAATATTAGATGTCATCTAACATTAAGTGGATCATAAAAAGGTCATGACTATGAAAGACATCTTCCCATGAATTTCATTTACTAAGCAAGAGGGGGAAACAAGGAGTGTAATAGTTGGAGATCCATCTTTGCTTTCTGAAGCAGAAAAAATGCTATTACTTCAACTCCAGATTTAGTCTGATTCATACATTCACACTTTTTCTAGTGGAGCACAGGGTATCAGACATCCATCTTGATTTCTTTCTATGGCAAGACAGATCAATTTAAGTCCAGAGCAAAAACAAAAAGGACAGATCTCCGCAGAAAGCCCTCAGCTGTACCTCCTCAAATGCATGCAGACAACATCCCCGTTTCTCCTAAAGCAGTGTTCCTTTAAAAGCTTAGCGACAGGCAGTGGTTAAACAGGTAGAAGTTTCCCACACGAGGAGATACTGCAACAAGGAAAACTTTGCCTATTGACTTTCAGCCTGTCGGGCAGCTTTTAAGGCATAAATCTTTCTCACGAAAAGGAGGAAGAAGTCACTCGGCCCACGCGGAGGCATATAGGACGGGCTCTACGCCTACCTTTACTAAGGCCTCCACCTGGTGCAACAGGATGGGCTTGTTACAGAATTCGACCAGCGGCTTAGGGATGCTGAGGGTCAGGGGTCGCAGCCGGGTGCCGTAGCCCCCCACCAGGATCAGCGCCTTCATCTTGGCCTGAGCGGAGAGAAGGAAGATTTAGCCTTGCGGGGCCCAGCCCTCCTCGACCGACCGAACCTGCCTGCGCGCCCCCTTCTCTACAGGTCGGCCCCCTTCCCCCTCTCGCCCTGCCCCGTCCAGCAAGACTTGCCCGCGGCCTCTAGCGCCCAGGTCCCAGCCGCCGTCTCCCGCCCGCCGAGTGAGCGGCTTCAGTCGCCGGGCAGCCTCCCCGCATCCCACCCCGCGCGCTCACCCACGGCTCCCGTTCCTGGCCAACTCAGAGGCTCCACCCCGCCCAGGGGAGACAGATCGAACGTCCACGACATCCCCCTCCAGTTCCTGTTCGAACCCTTTGGCCAATCAATACATCTGACGTGACCTATTACTCCTACTATCCAATGGCGGCCGAGAAGAATCGGACTCATCGGCCAATCGCAGAGGAAGCTACCATGTTGCCATAGCAACGCAGGATCGTCCGTGATGCGGCCGTTTGCGTCAGATAAAAGTGCCAGAGCTGCTCTCGACACGTCTTTAGTTTCGCTATTGTAGGTTACAAGTTGAAGTCCCGCCTTTCGGGACGGGTTACCTGTGCCTTCCAACGCGTGTCATACGTCATCTGGGGCTCGAAATGCGACGCGAACCTTAGCAACGAGGGCTCCGCCTCATGAAACCTCTTTGTAGCAGCGGCAACCTCGGTAAGCGCGGGGCGGCCATGTTGGTAGTGGCATTGAGTTTACAAGCCGGGAAGCCCTTCGTAGTCCGTCCTCGCCCAGCCTCAAGCGGGAAGCGGGCGGGTGGAAGAGGCAGGATGGTGGCGGCGTGTTTGTAATCGGGCTGCTGGGAGCAGACGAGATGTAGCGTTCCAAGCTGTGGGGAGAGTAATGGCATTGGGCGGAGCCCTGTTCGCTCCCCTTCCCGGATGATGGATCCCTGGCTCGCCCATTTGTCTACCTGCCGCTGCTCCAGGCTGATGGTGCCGGTCCTTTGATAAGTTCTCCGAGTCCCAGGCTGCCCTGTTAATAATACGGAAGTCAGCGGTGTGGGAGAGCGTTATGTTATTGCTTAGCTTCAAGGGATGAGTAAGGCTGCGTAGGATTTCTAGCTCTCAAGTTTATTTAAACTTGTCGTAATTAGTGGTAGCATCAGATATCTGAAACAGAGCCACTTGGTGCCTTGACTAAATATGATTCCCTCAGAGCCACTTGAGATACAAGGATCTGTGTTTTGTGAAAAACACTGGAAGGGTGAATAAATAAAAATATTTATGGTAAACACTTTTATTTGATTAATGGGAAACTTTCAACAGTGTGTGAAAGCTTTTGCATTTTCAAAAACTCCTCATTCAAGAAGGTTGGGAAAATGGAAGAAATGCTTTTAACAGAGGAAGCCTATATTTAATATAGAGAAGTAATGGTTGTGATTGTTGTATGCCACTTTACTGAAGCTGATATTTTGTTCCAGAGTGGGGACCATGGCATTGGAGCCAGTCCCTTGCACCATTAAGAACCCAGTAGCACTGCAGGTGGGAGACATGAAGACAGAGTTAGGCCGGCCCGGTGTTCTGGTGATTGATGTTTCATTCCCACACTCGCAGACCACAGATGTAAGTGTGAAAGAAAAGCAACTGTCAAAGATGTATAACTGACAGATAAACTATTCAGAAGTTGTAATTGATTTAACCTTATAGCTAATGCTGAAGTTTGGAAGTGATCTGTGAGCCAGGAGGTTTCTGTTCCAAAACTCATAACTCTGATTTACTCAGTTGATAGTTCCAAATCAAAATTGCTTACTTTTGCTCCCATCAGCAATATAGAACATTGGCTTTATTTAAAGAGTTACTGGTGGGAGTTCTGAGTAACAAAAAAGTGTTCACAAAAGTTTTCTCTACATTCTCTTTAGCTGTTATAGCTTGCTTGCTGTGGGTTCAATCAATCACTTGTTTTTATTTCAGTTGCAGGCAATTTCATTCAAAAACTACTACACTGCCTTTTTGACCCTTCGAGTACAGCGGCGAAGTTCTGCAGATGATGGGAATGGAAGCCCTTCTAAATGGATTACTTGTCTACGTAACTATTGTTTGATGCCCAATCCACATACAGAGGAGGGTTCCCAAAACTACTTTTCTATTTCCAGACATCAGGTCAGGATTTCAGTTTCTGTTGGGGAAGTGAGGAATTTCATTTGCCCCAAAAGGTGTAACTTAACAAGTCTGGAATCAGGTAGTGAAAGGAGCCTAACCTAGTAATTAAATCCCCTAACAAGTACTTTGGTTCTGATTAGGTATGTGCCAATTTCCACATGCAGAAAGGAAATAAAATAGTTCTAAGGAGCTTATTTAGGAAAAGTTTCACGTCATAAGGTGTAGAAATCCCTCATATTTCTTCTGCGTGCAGAAAATATGGAACTAGCTTGTTTTTCAGAGGGGTTGGGACTGGAGGGGTTTGACATTCACAACTTTGTGGACATATCCACAACTTGTGTGCCAAAACAATTATTCCACTCAACAATTGAGCCTATTGTAGCAAAATCTGAGTTAAATACGCAATGATTCAAGTTAAATACACAATGGTTTGAGTTCATTACACAATACTACGTATATAGTATTATACAATAATACTGTTCCAGCTTAGAAACAAATTCAACTTAAGGACAGACCTTGGGAATGGAACTCGTTCTTAAACTGGGGACTACCTGTACAGTCTGTTTTCAGCAGTTCATGAAAACATTGCATGGCTTCAGTGGTTTGTTTCCTCCAGGAAGAACTCCATTCGCCACTTTTAGTAACAGGCAACCCATTTGTAAGTACGACTTCCAACCTATATACAAATTATAGTTAAAGACAGGCTTAGGAACAGAACTCATTCTTAACCCGGGGACTGCCTGTAGCTGCTGCTTTGAGTCCTTGTCATGTTTGGGTCACTAGTAGATAGTATCTAGCCACCTTCCCTTCCTTTGGCCTGTTTTTCAATTACCTTTGGTTTTTCCAAGCATCATGATCTTCTCCAGTGATTTTTGCTTACATGTTATATATCCAAAATGTTTAAGCTTTAGCTTCCTTATTAATGCTTCAAGTGAGCAGTCTGGTTTTATTTAATCTTGTATCAAATTATATACTCTTCATAAAGTCCGTAGTATTTTTAACCATTTTCTCCAGCACCATGGTGTAAAGGCATTTTTTTTTCTTCATTCAGCCTTTCTGATCGTCCAGCTCTTGCAGCTGCATATTACAAGTGGAACAGCTATGGCCTTGACCATGCTTTTGTTGTCACTGTGATGTCTCTGCACTTTAATATTTTGTCTCAGTCTATGATAGTCTTCCTCTCAAGTAGTTGACACATTTTTATTTCATAGCTATAGCTACTGTTTCTACTGGTCTAGAATATGATTTCAGCTTCTGTGGAATGTGGCCCAAGCTTATTGAGTGTTCTTGTTGCCTAAAATGAATGAAGAGGGCATTCTGGAACATGGCCAACACTCACCAACTCCTGTGCAGGGAAAATGTTGGGAAGAGGGAAGTGGGAAGTAGGGTAAGTAGGATGTGCCATTGTCAGAATAGGCAGCAGTTGAGGGAAGGGAAGGCACTGGGAAAATGGGGAGTGGGCCAGTGGTATATGCCACACTGGCAGCTGCTGAGGGGGACAGTGGGACAATAAACACCAGGTTAACCTCACTACTGGTTTGTTTGTTTTCTTCCAACTCTAGCTGACACAGAATGGTATAGCAGAACTTCCAGAATGTGATGATTTATTTTCCTGAATCTAAGCAAAATGTTTTTTTTCCCAAGCAAAATTGATCAATGTCCCCCGATCTAGTAATTCCATAATAATATGCAGTAGTACTGTGATTTAATTCATTATCAGGTTTCTGTTAATTATGCAGGTGTATATGCTTCAGTAATGTTTTGTCTCCATGTTTTGCTAGATGCTTTGTGATGTGGATCGGGTGGCTGCCATGCGTTTCATTCTGCGCCAGCCTTCCCCAGTATGGTTGCATTTTACAATTGAGGAACTGCAGCTTTTTTCTTTGTGTCAGAAGGTACATATTCAAAATTTTGTCAAAATGTGGTTCCTTCTTTAGCAGTTCTGATCCTCCCAGGATCTTTGCAGTGGCTTGCAAATCTGTTTAAATGGTAGGAAATTAAGTATGTTGCTGAGTTGCAACTGTAACTTGCTATATCACTGGTCACACTGGCTGGGGACACTCATAGTCTTGGTTCACAACATCTGAAGAGGCACCTATTCCCAACCATCCTTATACAGGTAGTCCTTGCTTAACGACCCTAATTGGGACCAGCAACTCCACCATTACGTGAAGCGATCGATAAGTGGGAAATCACATGTCTATGACTGTGCTTTCCAGCTGAAAAGAGACAAGACTAGTTGGTTTCACACTTTTGATTTTTGTTTGCATCCTTCCCCACTGCCAGCATGATCACATTACTCTCAATGTGTAGAAGAGCAAACAGCTTACTCTCTTGAAATCTCTCTCGCTCCAATCTCTCCATTCTGCAGGGGAGGGGGAAGGGTTAGGCAAAGGAGAGATTGCCTACAGAAATTGCTTGCTTTTTTTCTCCCCCCTCCGCAGAGCAGAGATTGGAGAGAAAGAGATTTCAAGAGAGTAAGCTGTTTGCTGTTCTACACATCGAGAGCAATGCAATTGCGCTGGCAGTGGGAAAGGATCAGGCAAAGGAGAGAATGCCTACAGAAATCATTTGCTTTTTTTTCTCCCCCCCCCCCAGAGCAGACAGATTGGAGAGGAAGGGATTTCACGAAAGTACTGTAAGTTGTTTGTGTAGCACGCCCACAGCTCCAGCCCTGAGCTGCTGGCATGTTCACATTGTTTTTGATGTGTAGAAGAGCAACAGCTTACTTTCTTGTAATCCCTTTCTCTCCAATCTTTCTGCTCTGCAAGGGGGGAGAAGAAGTTCACAGTTCAGGCACAAGACAATGGGTACTGACTGTGATGGCAATCACATGACTGAGGGACACTGCGAAGGTCATAAATGTGCCATAAAGTTATTTTTTCACCACTGTCATAACTTCGAACAGTCGTTGAATGGTCAGTAAGTGAGGACTACCTGTATTAAAGTTTATTGTTTGTTAGCTGGTTAATTTTATATTCTACTTTTCTTCTTGCTGTTAGTTTTATATCTCACTTTCCTCCAAGAGTTAAGTGGCTTACATTGGAATCTACCCTACAACAGCAATCTTATGAGGTTGGGCTGGGAGATAGTACTGGCCTAAAGTGAGTTTCCATGACTAAGGTCTCCTTGGTCCTAGTCCAACATCTTATTCTGCTATGTCACTCTCTAGAAGGTCCAGAGTCAGATATATAACTGGGCTTATATTCTTTGCTCTGGTCTCCAGTAGAATTAGGGGAAAAAAATGCTTCATTCACCATCACCAAGCCAACCCCAATTCTTTGCTCCAGTGGGAGAAGCATAATCTTCAGTTTCTGTGCAGCCAGTTTTGCTGTCCTTATTCATTCTGCTTCTGTGATTCAGCTGCTAAAGTTCTCATTTTCCACACCCTTGTCACAACATATGAGATGGATAGGTATATAAATTGTATGTATGTATATATGAATGTGGCAATTCTTACCTGGCTTTGGTTGATCTCAAAAAGCTAGAGTTGAATCTAACTAGTACTGAAATGGGAGACCACCAACAAAACCCAGGGCTGTTAGCTAAATTGGAAAAAAGGCAGGGACAACTCACTTCCATATTATTGCCAAGAAAACTTCGTGTCCATACACGGGCAACTGTTAGAAGCCCCAGTGATATCAAAAGGATGTGTGAATTATTTGCTTGCATCATTTTGCATTATGATGTACTCCCCCACCAGAAGTTGAACTTTGACTCAAAGGAGTTTTACCTTTATGCATGTATTTCTGATATCCATGGAACAAGTATAGTATTTACTTCTTTCTGCCAGATTCACATTAATCATAAGATTAATACCCCGGGTATAGTTTAGGAATGTAACTGCCTGTACTTAGTGTGCACAAAACCTGGTATTAATCTTGACATACAAACTATGGAAATCTGAAGCTGATCTTAGAGGAAGGCCTTTTTCTGAAATTCAGATAAGGAAAAGTTGTACTTTATAGCTCTTGTTTCTTATCTGTAAAGTAATATAATTCCTAATGGCTTTATATGTTTGGAAACAGTTGAAATATCTTTAAAGCTTGATCTTCCTTGTCACTGGCTCTAAGCGCGAATTGGTGAACATGGAGTGTGAAGGGTATGCTGTCTAATTTGCTGTGTGCTTCTCTGGGACGGGCTTTTTCTCTTTACAGAGTCCTCAGAAAGGCTTTCCAGCTTGGCTTTCTCATCCTTCTCCTCAGGAGCAGCCAGCAAGCTTACATGATGTAAGTATTGTTACTGAGGTAAGTTTTTCTGAGAACACAGACATGTTCCTGAGTAAAGATACATAAGCTAGACTGGTTGATGATAACAGGCTCCTAGAGGGGAGAGATTTTCATCCAGAGGTGGTCTTGCAACAGCAAAAGCCGCAAAAAACTGCATGTTTTAATATAGTTATCCTTTGCTTTCAGGGCCTGCCTGATGCTGACAGAGTGTCTTCCGAACTGCAGCAAATGTGGGTTTTAACTGAGATGCTCCAAGCCAGCCAACCAGTAGCACGGATTGGGCGCTTTGACGTTAGTTTCTCTGTTCTTCTGCTTCTTGCCTTAGAAGTGTCCTTATTACTGAAAAACTGTTAGGAGTTTCTCATGGGAAGAAGCTCATCTCGTTATCTTCACAACACTGTTTAGTCTAGAGAAATCGTGTGACTTGGGTGTTTGCACATATATTGCTATTTACTCTCTCATGCTGATGTGTATTTTTCCTGGCAAACTTTTCTGGGAGTATTGCTGCACTCTGCACAACAAAAACAGTCAGAACCTCTAAACACTGCAAGTGGGTAAAGTACCCCCATTTCCCAATCTAAAGCCTCTTTCAAGATGTTTACCAACAGAACTTCTATAACATCAGAGGACCCTTATTGAGATGTATCAAAAGTCCATATCTATAAACTAGTCGTTGCTAAGATGCAGAGACTGGTGATCATCCTGATTAGGGCAGTTAATGTACAATTTCTGTTTACATTACATGTTCCTTTAAGGAACTTAGACTGGTTAGCATTATGTTTTCTAAGTTAACCTGACACAGATTAAATTAAGAGATGGTGGCTAGCTAAAGTTCATATTTTAGGCTAAGTGTTAATTTGAATCAATTTAATCTCTGTGCCTGGGGTCTTTCCAATGTTGAGGTGCATATTTCAACATCTCTGTTCATTAGCCATGTTTGTTGGGACTAATGAGAGTCCAAGACCAGCTAAGCACTACTTGAGTCCAAGTTCAGCTTTCTTCCCCTACCCTACATTGTCCAAACGGGGAAGAGTGGGAAGAAGAGAGAATAGGATATATGGAAAAAATATGCATCCTTCATTATCCCCAAGTTGCTGAGTTGTTTCTTACGTGTGTTTCAGATGGATGACTCCTATGACCTTAATCTGCTTTCTTATACTTGAATGGTTCCAAGAAAAGAAGAAGCAAGCTTTCCAAGCAGGGCTGCACCCCTGCATTGTAGGCCTGGCCTGAGCAGGAAGAAGTAATGGATTAAGACTTAGTTGCTTCCATGTTCCAGTCTCATGTTCCAACAACTATCCAGTTAGATTCTGCCTCTTCACCTGTGGTAATCTGGTTTTCAAGCCTATATTTTGCACTGGACCCTGGAAAGTTAGATTACCTAAACTGAAGCTGCCTAATTAGGACTGTTTATCTCCTGATCTGCTTTTCCAAGCCTTGCTGCATGGTACATGTTTCTTTTAAAGGCACAACGAAGTATCTTCAAGAATCTGGCACTGGGAGCATGAAGGAAAGGAAGCCTTCATTTTGATGAATAGTGACTTGAAATATTGTAAGAAGGACAAAAAGACTCAGGGTATTGGGGTCTCAGATTGAAACATG